TATATAACTTCTGGCAACAGTACTTTTTTCCAAGTAAAGTTAAAACAAAACATTAGCAGATTAAAAAACAACTAATTTGCCTTTATTAAGAAAATGTACAACAATATACCTTTGGTTGATGTATGATTAAAGGGTACCGTATTTTTCGGACTATAAGGTGCACTTAAAATTCTTTAATTTTCTCAAAAACCGACAGTGAGCCTGATAATCCGAAAAATACGGTACATGTGCTCAAAAGTCAGAAGTTGTGCCTTTAACCTCTGGTTCTTTTATCATTTTGCTTTTGTTGTGTCTTTTTGTAGATTTGTTAGTGTGATCAATTAATAAACTCGCTCAGGCTTTTATTCCACAGTAAACACAAACAAACACACAACCTTCGTTCTTACCGTCGGTGTTCTCAGTAGCATTGGTTATTTTGTCTTCTGAAACATTTTCAAGATAAAAGAAAAACAAAATATGTGATTAAACTTTACAAACTGATTAAATGCAGTCTAAGCAGGGACAGAGGCTCAACGAAGCCTAAAAACAAAATGCAAACATGAACAAAATGCTACAATAACTAATAAAACAGTGCAGGATTGGAGTTCAGACCCTGCTCTGCGCTTACCTGGCTTAGCAATTACATGTTCTTTTGTGTCGTTCTCTAAAACAAGAATAAATAAATAAATAAATCATCAACAACAACACAACTGATAGTGGAAAATTAAATTCAAGGTGGAATAAAACATTTGTTGCAGCTTTGACCCATAACCACACATTGTTCTGTTGAGTTACCTGGCTCAGCTGCAGATGGTTTTGGAACGTGTTCTCCTAAAACCAAACAATTACACAAATAAATAAATAACAACAACTTGCCAAAGCTTTTACTACCATGAGAGTGTGTGTGTCTACCATTCATGTGTGCCACCAGAGCTGCACCTCTTTCTACAAAAAAATAAAAACAAATTTCTGCTTTTTATTTATTGCAAACAGAAATATTCAACCATGCAATGACCACTGCAGCCTGCAGGGGGAGCCAGCTGCACATTACAGACATAACGTGACATAAGGTTCACTTCTGCTCCCTGATTGGCTACTGGTGTCTTTAAACGATTTTGAAAGTTCAAATATTTATTTAGGTTGTATTCTTAGACAATTTAAACACAGTACAATTGATATTAAGCTGATCAATTTAAACCAGTAATATTTACCGTCTTTGTCTCCATCCTCTGTAAAGAAAAACAAACAAAACATTTCAACCATACTATACTTTTAATCTAAACCACAAAACACGTGAAAATAATAAATAAATAGTAAAGATGACATTTGATCTCTAAAACAATCATGAACGAATTATTACCCAAAATGTGTGTTAATTATAACCCTTCTGTTGCAGTTATATTGATATTCCAAATACATCCCAGGTGTTTAGCTTGTATAAAGTGAACATTGCATGGTGGTACTGATGATGTCATTGCTTACTGTTGACTGGAGCGGCCAAAGACACAGCAGCGAGGCCACAAAGCAGCAACACAACACACCTAGAGACACAGAAACAAACGAATCAGCATCTTTTCAATGCAAAATGCTGATTTGACTGCAGCTTGTTTGAATGTGGCTGCTCTTTAAGAAGAAGTTGAACAAGACAGGATCTTTTTTTCTTGTTTGTTTCATTCTCATGCTATGAAAGAACAAATAATGTCAAACAAATTAAATCCTTGTTGAAGGAAAGATAAAGATTGAACAAATAGATGAATGAGTTGACATTAGGGGCAGGGAGGTGGTTGATAAATCTCAGGTGTGTTCAGTGGCGGCTCCGTTCTGAAGAGTTATATGACTGTGTCTTTGTGCTTCCCTACAGAACAGAAAAAAAAAACCCCACAAAGCGCCTCTTCTTTTCCAACGTATAGAGAGAAACAAGCTGCAATAGAAAACCAGCTCGGACGTTCAAAGAGATGGAAATGCTTTTAGCTTCACTATGGGAGTTGAGTTCCTTCTTTCAGGGAACACTGCAGTCCTTAAATGGCTTTTATTCTCAGCAAACAGGCCCCAGAAATGCAAAACATTTCCATTTGAATAAAACTGAACAGAAATAAGAAGATTTGAAAGAAAAAAATAGAGTAAATATCAAGTTTTTCCTCACTTCATTGTCAGAAACCCCTTTCAAACTGCAGCCTTTCATGAAAATGTGCTGATCCTTTTAATGTTATAACATCAGATCAATGAAAATGCAACGAACGAATCACTGAACTTGACAACAAGTCATTTGCTCAACAGCACAAAAACTTCCTCTATGAGAAGAATGCAAGCCAAAATGTTGAAGGCAGTTATAAAAGAGTGAAAGAAAAGTTTGCACAGGCCTCAACCTTTAATGATCTGTGGAGCCGTGGGAGAGAACATTTTGTTTAGTGAAGCCTGGAGACTGAAGGTCTCAGGGTGGGAAGAGTCTGATGATGAGGAGTTCACTCACCGTTGGAGCATGTCGCTTGTTTCAGCAGGTCGACAGGAATGACGAGTTGGAGTTCGGAAACGTCAGCGTTTGTCAAGATTCTGTACTGAGGTGAAGGAGAGCAGCAGCGTTTTATACTCTGTCTCTCCTCCTCCTCCTTCCCTCCACTCCTCCCTCCCTCCGATCACCTGAGTGTTTGCACTTTATTCCTCAATGGTTCCATTTGATTGTTTCAAAGGAACAAAAAAAAAAGAACAAAAACCTGTTTCTCCTCTGTTCAGTTCAATTCAGTTCAGTTTATTTATATCACGCCAAGTCACAACAGAAGCCATCTCAGTGTTCATCGCATTGTTGAGACCAAAAATGATACCAAGCTAATATCAAATTTCTAGTTTTAAAAATAGCGATGGGAATATTTTATACCTTGGAGATACAAAAATCCAAGGTGTGAACTTCTGTTCCTAATTTGACTCTCAAAAATATTTGTGAAAAGAAGAATTTTACCAGGAAAATGTGGGAAAACACCAATAAAAAGTTGAAAAATTGCCAAAGTCAGCCATCACAAATCACGTTTATGAGAAATACACAAAACGTATCATTTAATTTCAGAACCAGGCATGGAGTTCTGATCCCTAACCATTTTTTATAATCTTTACAGTTTTACCATTTACCACTTAGAGACAACTACTGTATTTTCCGGCGTATAAGTCGCTCAAGAGTATAAGCAAAAAACTCTACATCAATGGCTCTCATGAAATTGATAGAATAAATAACAACTGCTGTCGATCAAAAACAATATTGTGTTAGTATTTTTGTTGATTTAAAAAAAGCATTCAGTACTATTGACCATATTCTACTTGAAAATTTGAATAAATATGACATTAGAGGACTAGCACTACAGTGGGTATCTAGCTATTTGATAGATAGGAAACAGTTTGTACAAATAAATGATCTGACCTCTGTAATATCACATGTGGAGTTCCTCAAGGCTCTGTACTTGGACCAAAGTTATTTATTCTATATGTGAATGACTTGGTAAATGTGTCGGACTCCTTAAATGTGTTCTTTTTGCAGATGATACCACATTTTTTTTGTTTGTGTAAAAATATATAATGGATGTCGGAGATGATGCAGACAGAATTTGTAAAAATACACACTTGGTTTAAACTTAATAAATTATCATTGAACTCAGATAAAACTAACTATACGATATTCAGTAAGAGAAAGAGAACTGTTGATGTTCCATTTAGAGTCGAGGGTGTTATTTGTAGCGTTAGTGAAGTGAAGTTTTTGGATATTATCATTAATGAAAAGCTGACGTGGAAACATCACATAAATTATGTAAGAATAAATCTATTGCAGTACTGTACAAAGTAAGGGAGTTATTAAATGATAAAGCTCTGTATATGTTGTATAACGCAATTATTGTTCCACATTTAATCTATTGTATTGATGTTTGGGTGAAAGAGTGCAAAACAATTACAAATTATATTTTTGTTTCACAGAAAAGAGCTGTAAGAATTATTACCAGGAAGCATTTCAGTCACCCAACAAGTACATTATTTTATCAACTGAAGTTATTGAAGTTCCATGATTTGGTAAATTATAGTATTTTATCAGTTATGTATAGGGCTCATAATAACACATTACCTTTAAATATCCAATTAAATTTAGTTAAAAACAGAGTTGTTATAATCTTAAGGGGATAGAGATATTTGTCAAACCTAAATTTAATAAAAATAATAAAAAAAAAGGGGCAGATATTATAAGATTTTTTCTTCTTTCTGCTTCCTTTCATTTTATTTGTGATTGTTTTTCTTATTGTATATAGAATTGTTTTGTTTTGTTAAAAAAAAAAAATTGTATAATAATAATAATAATGTAAGGCACTGATGACCAGTAGCATTAAAATGAAATATGTTGCTCTGCATTTTTTAGATTATCATTGGATAATTTGTTTGGATGAACGTTCCACATTTAGTCCTTTAATAATCCAGTAAAAACCAGGAAACGCTCGTTTCAGGGGACTGAAACTGCTCTCATGCAGGAAGTGAAAACCTTCGAGTCTTGCAGTTAATCTGGTCATTTTGACCCCAAAAAGCTCTAATCTACATTTAAAAGAGGACATGCTTATCGTTATCCTGAAGTACGCAAAACAATGTGCCAAGGTCAAAGCGTTTTGTTGATGTCTTCATAAAATCAGTGTGTGGACTCGTGCAGAAACATGGTACTTTTTGCAGAACTGATTATTCTCAGCTTCCCCATCTCGATAATTTAATCTGAATTCTTCTGAGATCTTAAATTCTGACTGTCCTGTCGTGCTAAATTTAATATCGCTCACTATTCTGTATCAGATAAAGCAGAAGTTTTCTCTTTTAATATTTAGAGGAATTGTGGAGTGATGGAACAAAATTAATTGATGCTACTTTTCAGTCTCTTGCAAACACAGTAATCACTTACACAATAATCTGCTTTAACTCGTGTTTATAATCTTGTTGTTTTGTAAAAAGCTCTATGTGAGTTAAAAGAAGACAAATTTTACTTTCACAGCTGGAAGTTGACGCTGATCAGCTGTCAGTTTGGTGTCGTTCCGTACAAAAACAAAACAAGTTAAAGCGTTTTGTTTTTTGAATGTCCAGAGGACCAGACTTAACTTTTTTAGATTTTTCTACCTGGATTATTGAGCATGCATCAGGATAAGTTAAAGGGATAGTTCATATCTTTTGAAGTGGGATTCTCTGGAAAGGCTGTGAACAATTAACATCTTACCTGCTGTAAGATGGTCGACCTCAGTTTGATGGAAAAGCTTTTAGCTTGACGAGCTAACGACTTGAACACTATTTTATGAATCTTTACACGCTGAACGATTTCACAGGACATGGTTGTTCAGACATATTCCTGCAGGAAGTGCCCCCATACACTAAAATTTATTACAGTTTTTCTGCTAAAAAAACAAAAACAGAAATATGTTGTTTTTGTTCATAAATTATTTCTGAATGATCAAATTTCATGATGTATTGAAAAAGAAGGATTCAGTAGATCAAACCTGTAAAAAAACTAAACACAAAAAACCAGCAACAATAACTAAAAATGTGCTTATTGTACATTAGACACCATAATATACCAAAGTACAGGAACATATGCCTGTTTTTATTTGTACAGTAAAAACACTTAGCTTTAAAGTTGGCATTTTATTTCTTTTGTATTATTTTCTGTTTCTTAAAAAAATACTTAATTCCTGTTGAAAACATACACCTGAAAGAAGAGACCAGTAATACTTTCACAATAATTTCAATTCAATTTCAAGATGGATTTATTCATCCACGCATCATCCATCCATCCATCCATCCACACACACATACATACATACATACATACATACATACATACATACATACATACATACATACATACATACATACATACATACATACAAACAGTACATTCAATAAAAAAAATACTTTATTAATCCCAGAGGGAAGTTAAATAACATCCATCCATCCATCCATACATACATCCAACCATCCAGTACTTCCATCCATCTATCCATCCATCCATCCATACATACATACATCCAACCATCCAGTACTTCCATCCATCTATCCATCCATCCATACATACATACATACATACATATATACATACATATATCCATCCATACATACATACATACATCCAACCATCCAGTACATCCATCCATCTATCCATCCATCCAACCATCCAGTACATCCATCCATCTATCCATCCATCCATCCATCCAGTACATGCATCCATCCACCCACCCATCCAATATTTTTACCTGCTTTTTCCTTTTCGGGTCACGAGGGTCACTGGTGCCCTTGTCGAGCTATCACTGTGTGATTTATTTCCTAAACTAGTGTCAAAATGTAAATAAATAAATAAACACACAAAAAAACAACAACATTTATTTGTTTGTTTGTTTGCCATGTTAGCAAAATATTTCCTGAACCACTGAATCAATATGAATTATATTTTGTTATGGTTTATTTTATTAGTGCATCTAGTTTATTCTCAATATTTAGTCCATCAGTTTGTTTAGTTGTTTATTTCTGGGAGTGTTTTTGTCTCTGTGTTTTTCCATTGCCTGGTTAGGTGTTTTTTTTTTCTCCCATGCTCATATTACTCTTCTGTTCCCGTTTGTCTTTGTCACACACACACACACACACCTGCTGGCCATCCACAATCATCCCAACTCTTCCCATGTACGATCACATGCCCAGAACGGACACCTCTGCTTGTTGTCAGATCCGTGTGTGCCATGTTTCACTCAGTTCTGTTTGTTTGTTCTGCGATGTCTCTAGGGACTCATTTCTAAGAGCTGCCTGGCCTATTTGGTTCAGCTTTCCAAAAAGGACCAGTATCATTGAGCAATGGTGGGACTTGTGATGCTTTTTTTTTTAAAACAGCTCTGTTAGGCTGTCAAACGTCTCTTCATTGTTGGCTCTGAGCGAAAGGAGCTGACTCATTCAGCTTTTGAGCAGCTCTTCAAAAACATCTGACCCTTTGAGAACCATCCCAGATCCATCCGGTCCATCGCTACCTTAAATCCATCAGTATTTGTTACATTTACTTATTTATTTTCATTTATTGAACAGTTTTGAAGCCACACCCGCCTGCCAACAAACTTCCAACATTGAAAGCAGTCATTGGATGTTCAGCTATAAGTGATTAACAGCATAATTCAAGATGGCCGCCACAGTTAACTGGCTTCATACACAAAAACAGCCATAACTCTGTCAATTTTACACAGATTGCGCTGAACTTTGGTGTGGCAGTAGCTGAGAGTCGTTGAACACTGACAGGTTGTGTAAGAGCTTTGTTTAAAACAATATTTTATTATTATCTTTATTTAACTGGGCAACTCTCAGAGATCACAGAGCCCTTCTGGGCCTGAAGGCAGCCCAGCGTGCACGTTTTTGGACTGTGGGAGCATGAACGGAGAGAACATGCAAACTCCACGCAGAAAGACTCCAAGTCCAAACTGGGGATTGAACCAAGGACCTTATTGCTGTGAAGCTAAAGTGCTAACCACCAAGCCATTGTGCTGCCATAATGGAGTCAAAAATAAAGTGTTTTCCTGT